TGTACAAGAAACAAAAAAACTCAAATCTTGGCATGTTTCACTCTAATCGTTACAATATTATGTCATTAGAGCAAATTTTGGCTCTTGTTCTAAGAAAGAGCAACTATGTGAAGTGCTAAAAGGAAAATGTCATAACTAAATAAATCACCCTTTCTTCCTTTGTTCTTTTGACATCTTTTGATATTAAAATGAGTTTTTATATTAAAGTTAAAACATTTGGGGATTTAAAAACTTTTGTATGGACATTTTCTTATGCCATTTTGAGTGAATCCTGCTTCTATGACAGTTCTTGGAGATATTTCTACAAGTTGAATTAAGTGCACCTGAACCCATTGGACATAATTAAAAAAGAAAATCACTTTTGTCTGTAGAAGCTGCCACCACTGATGGGTTCGAGTGAAACTCAGTCAAGCACTGAACAGAACTGTCTGCAGGCAGGTTTGAGAGGAAGCACAGACGTGGAGAAGAATACAAACAGAACTTATCTGTTCCTCATTCCTGTTCCTCTCAAAGCCAGCCGGTCAAAGCAGATGGCCTCTTGTCCTGAGCCTGGTTCTGCTAAAGGTTTCTTCCTCATGAGGGAGTTTTTCCTTTCCACTGTCGCCTTCATACTTGCTCATGATGAGAGATCTGCAATGGAGTTAAATTCAAAGCAGTCTACTCCTCAGTTAAATCGTGTTAACTTATTATTGTTATGAATGTTTCTGTTCAGTGCCCTGAGATGACTTCTGTTGTGACTTGGTGCTATAAAAATAAACTGAATTGAATGGAATTGAACATGTTTTCCACAGTCATTTATGGAAATTGTATTGCTATGTGTGGGGGATTCTCTGGAAAATCGTCATTCCAGGAAGTCAAGTGTTACATCCACTCATTTCTAGGGGTTCTCTTACTAGAGGACAACCTGTCCCCTCCTTTGCTTGTTTACAGGTCTGCTGTCACATCATGCTGCACACCTGGAATCACATGCCCCCTTTTCCTTTGGGCATTTCCACTTCCCCATTGGCATTGTGTACAAAGTATTTTAGCAACTCTGAGAAGATCTTTGTGATCTTCTGTGAACTTTGCTATTTAAGTACTTTTGCTTAGATGTGACGTTTAGTAGGGGTTCTTTGCAATTTGATTTTAATTAACTTTTCTCCTGTTTTGTGGCCAGCTAGGGGGCTCAGGAATTGTAGTTTTTGTTTTTAGATTAGAGGTGATTTTGTTTTCTAACCAGAAGGAGCATTCTTTGTTTGTTCTTTTGGCCTTTAAGACCCTGAAATTCATTGATTTTCTTCTGTCTATAACGCAAAAAACTATTAGAAGAATAAATTATCGTAATGCCAAAATGGGTTGTTTGTATTAGCTTTACAATTAGTGTACAATTTGTGTTACACCTTGTGCCTCTTAGTCCAACGACTGTAACATCAAGATTGTGAGATGAGTATTGTTTCAACTAATCCTTACAAATTACATATAAGAGACAAAAACATGGACTTTTTGAAATTCTTTAAATAGTCCAGCCTCTCTAGACCTGAAGCCTTTTCTGAAAATAAATGAATAAAAAAAAAAAAAACAATCCAAAATTACTGATAAATGCTATTGTCAATAGTTTTGTTTATGGAACAGAAACAATATGTTAAAGTTTTGTTTTTATACTCGGTGCAGGTCTAAATGGTTTCTTAAATCACCAAACTGTCCTTTTGAAGGGATCAGATCAGGGTTGTCAGTCTTGACGTGATCAGTCATTCTGTACGAGCTGTTGTAGCTACAACATGAATAATTCAAACTTGTTTTAACTGCATATATTTGTTTAGCTTATTTTGAATGTAAGACAGCCAAGCAGCTGGCACTCCACGTCTGCATCTGTTTAAGCACACTATCTGTTTTCCATAGCAAAAGAAAAATCTGCTTTGACTTCATTAGTATGAATCACTTTGAGAACCAAGCAGACAAATTCATTTTTAGTGGCCTGGGCAGAAAAATGACGATTAATTTATGGAACTCTTATCTAATTTACACTTCAAATCTAGCTCCACAATGTTTTATTTTGCCAGCTTTCTACAAATCCCCTGAATATATTCTGTTACAAAACAACTTGGCATGCTTCTGCAAATACACTTTCCTTAAAGTCTTTTGAAAATATTTCAAAAACAACTTTTTGCTTTGCCGTTGTGGATAATTCTGTGTCAATGCATTTAAAAACTGACCTTATTCTGTTTCTAGTCCAAACTTCAACAAAAGAGAGAAAACCTGAAAGGATATGTAGAAAATGCATTGAAAGGAACAAAAAAAAAAGGACCAAGTTGTGGTGCTTGTCAGTCAAATACCACAATATAAAGAAAATTGAAGCGACATTCATGTTTTCAGATGCAAAACATTGCATTAAAAACTACATAAAGCGACAGTGAAACTGTGATGGAGATGACAAAGACACAGAAAGGGTGTCTGACTGTCTGCACGAAAGAAAAGAAGCTGCACAGCCTGTGCTGGCTGTGATAAAGGCTAATGAGTTATTGCATTCACAGGTACACAGTGCTCACATATATCACAGCTCTGTTAGCTCCGTCTGACTCGTGACTGAATATTTCAGCCTGATCTCACTCAAAATCTCAAATACTGGAGTGCTTGTGTGGCTGTGTCTGTCTGTATGGCATTAGACATAGTTTGCACCTGCTCTTTTTGTTGGGCTCCATGAAGACTCATTAGTCTGTCCAAGTGCAGGGCAGAATAAGTGGCTGATGAGAAACTAAGGTTGGGAGGAGACGGATGAAAAAAGACACCACTGAGAAAGTGGCTCCTCTTTACATCACCGTCTCTGAACAAGGCTGGCAGCTCATGCTAATGAATTGGACTGTCCCATGCTAATGAATGGAGTGTAAAGATGGGCGGAAGGAAATGAACAAAGTAGTGGGATGTCAAACTACATGAACGATGAAGTAACTCATAACAGGGGCTATATTACGGGGCCCTATTAGTCTTCCAGTCTCCACTAGCTATGGGCGTAATGAGGTAGACTCAGAAGACCAGACCACTTCTGAGCACACTACTGGGATAAAAGTCTGTTTTAAAAAAGTAAAAGAATATTTCTGCGCTGGACTGCTAAGACACAGTTCAAACATATTTTCTTATCCATAAGAGTCTGAGTCTATCAATACAGAAGACAGTTTGAACTTTTTATGTATTTATCTTGTTCTTTGTTGTAGCAATAGAACATAAAAAATGATAAAGGCTATAGGTCCAATCAAGATTAGTCCCAAATGCAAATTAAATTTTTTTGTATATTTATATCCCAGCATGTAGTTTCTTACTTTTAGACTTCATGTATGTATGAAGTGTATTAAAATGTTTTAAATTACATCCTCAGCACTTCTACATTGGAGTAACAAACTATGTTCGTGTCATTCCTCAAGTTGTTTTCTAATAATAACAAAGAAATATATTCCAGGTAATAGTAACCACTTGAATACAGCTTGGGTGTTGGGTGGGTAGGACACGGCATCTTGTCACAAAAAACAATGACTTGGTAATCAAGAACGATAAAGTCAGTCACCCATTCTGTAATCAGTTTTGCTTTAATGCTGTCTGTGGAAACTTGTCTCTTCTCTTTAGAGTTTTGAATAAAGTGCGTTAGCTGTGCAAGCTGTTTGGTAAATGTTTCATGAAATTAGTGGAAAACAGGCTGATTACAAATATTCCAAGTAGCCACTGAACTATTTTCACTTTGTATTTTAGAATATGCCTGTACTGCTAATGTGCTGGCACACTTCTAGAGGGGTGCAGTAGAGAGGTCCTGTGCTCCAGCATCAACGTGTGGCATGGAGGCTGCACAGCTGCAGAAAGAAAAGCTCTGCAAAGAGTGGTGAAGGCTGCACAGAAGTTTGTTGGATTCAGCCTCCCCACCATCACAGACATCTACACCTCCAGTTGCAGGAAGAGGGACACCTGCATCACTAAGGACCCCACTCACCCAACATACACACTTTTTGCCCCGCTCCCCTCAGGAAGGAGGTTAAGGAGCATTAAATGTAGAACCATAGACTGAGCAACAACTTATACCCTGAAGCTGTTAGACTCATAAATTCCTAACCAGGAAAATCACTGTAATGCCACTTTATTTGGAGATTTGACACTTTCTGTGCTGCTGATGTTTTACCCATAAGCTGCTGTATTCATATCCATCTGCTCACAACAGACTCGTGTTCAGGCTGCTGTTTAATACACTTTATTATATTACATTATCATTGTTTAGCGTATATCTTCGATCCTTGTATACTGTTTCTTTTTTATAGTTTATATTTTTGCAATTTTTGGGTGTAACTGGGACCTTGAGTATACACTTTCATTCCACCTCATGTACCACATGTGATCTGAATGACAATAAATTTACCTTGAACAATATGTCCAAGCAGATGCTGTATTATAACTGCGAGAGAGCTGGTGTCAATCTCCAGTTGTCGTCATGCAAAAGGCAGGGCACACTCTGCACAGGTCTCCAGTTTATCATAGGGCCACTTAGGAGACAGACAGTCATTCACAGGCTCACTTACAACTAGTGGTATTTTAGAGTACCTGGAGGAAACCCATGCATGCACAAGGAAAACATGCAAACTACTCCAGGCCCCAGCTGGTTGTAAACCTGCAACCTTCTTGCTGTGAGATGCCACATCTAAGTGGCGTGGGACATCTCTAATAAAGACCCCAACCCTTTTTTTTTTATTACGATAAATGTATTATTGGAAGAAAAATGAGTTTAACTCTGGAGTACTTTGAAATGTACCTGTGTTAAACCACTGGTGCCCACAAACAGGACAAATGTCGGTGGTGAGTTCATACCGTAATTATCTTTCTGTGGGTGCTTAAAGCTTCAGCTAATTGGCATGCACGATAAGCTGTTTCCACAAAACATTTGATTTTAAGTAACTGGTTGGTTGGGTGAATAAAGTAATTCATCACACAAAGAAGCACATCTGACACATTTTAAAAGTATATCTTAATATAAACATTTTATTCAGTGCATTTTTGTGTATACAACAAATAATAAACAACTGGAAGTCATCAGGCAGCCGCAGCATCTGCCTGTATTTGTTGTTTTTATCAGATTTAGCCTGATGGTTTGGAACACATGATCCAACATGGGTAATACACAATGCCTACATCATGCAGCTCTAGTCCAGTATTTCCCTGCGTTCTCCCATGCAACAGATAGTTCCACCAAAACGAATGCACCTCCAGAGAAAACCAAGAAAAGAAGGTCTTTCAAAAGCATGTACCAGAAATAAGTTATGTAGCTGAAGGAAAGAGTACGTAGCCCACAAAGAGGGTCCTTTTTGTACATATTTGTGTACATGCCCTGTGCAAGAAAGGGAAGATGTTTACATTTTTATATATTTTTGACTTTTTCTCACTTTTATAAATATGATGTTTGCTATAAAATGTTAAGCCACCTAAAAGTCCACAGTATTCCTTTTATTCCCCATATAGAAAATGTCACCACAAGAAGTTACTCAAACACATAACAAGCATCCTGGGAACAGGCTTTCACCATATTCTTATGGTGAGCTGTGTCATCCAATAGAAGTGTACAAAAAAGAATTGAGGTATGACACAAACACAGATATAGGAAACGAATCACGAGGACAAGAGCAAAAGACACAGTGATAACAGAAGGAAATGGGGACACTGATAAGTTGTTCCGTTCTTCCATCATTGAGCGTTATCAGATAAAAGCACAACATCATGCCTGCTGCTACCATTACATCCTACAGCCATCTTTTTTTATTTTTTTATTTCAGTTTTTTTCTTTTTTCCATAAAACCCTTGCTCCTCTTCATCAAAACTGTACAGCGGGAAAAGACACCCTCGTTGTTTGTTACTGTATGTTGGCTTGTTTTTCAGCAGCTTAAAGGGACACTCTTTCAATCGGTCTTTGGTTTGCTGGAATCCATCTTAGAAATGATATAAAAATAAATAAAAACAGATAATTTACAATGACAAGGGCAAAGAACAAGAGGGGACTAAAACAAAACTGGTTATTAAATAAACAACTCTCAGCCAATTTAGAAAAATAGCTAAAAACCAGGAACAGCTGTGGCATCTCTGACACAAAAGAGTAAAATCAATGGATAAAACTGCAAGAAAGCCACGCTGCCCTTTACGTTGCAGGTCATTTGAACATAGGCTTCATTTTCCCATGCTAAAGAGCTCAGTCTTTGAGCGTGTGCACTAGGACACGGGAGAGCTACCATCTGGCTGGCCAGTAGGACAAGGCTGCGCCACGCCAGGGAGTTTATAGGCTTTGCATTCACAGGAGTATGAATGAGACGGAGATCAGGGCCTTTTACTGCACCCTCACGAGCACCATCACTGGCTGCCTTGAACACCTGCAGATCTCACTTCCTGCCCCTGTCTGACTGTTGCATGTGTCTTCATGACCGAAAGAACTCATTAAAATAATGTCATAAAAAGTAAAATAAGATGTTACCTGGTATGCAAACATTACCAAAAAAGAGTTACCAATAATAAAAAAAACAGTAAACCCAAAACTAATTTCTAATTAGCTTTTGTTTTAGTCAAAAATGACCTGTGTGCTGTATCGTTTCTTGCTATAAATGCTGTCTGGATGAATACTGACCAGGATGGACTCTAACAGTTTGTATTGATGGCATCTGGGTGTTTTATGTGTGGATTGTTGTAGCTAGCCCTGAACCATAGATCAGAAGTCTGCTTGGATTCACGCTCTGCAAGAGGTAAGGTTTCATGGTTCGGCCCCTGGCCTGGGTTTGGCTACCGGGCTACGTCGACTCGTTCTGGCTCACAGCTTTGCCTCCGTTGAGGACAGCTGAGGCGCTCCGACTCTTGGTAGGTGTGCCGCTGCCAGAGCGGGAAAACTCTGACAAATCGTGGAGGGATGGCTCTCTGTACATCGCCACTGCGGAAAAAGAAAAGACAAGTGCAAATCAGACAAACGTATAATTAGTTTACAGCCTATAAACAGAACAAGAATAAAACCTGCTGTGAGTTGAAGTGTACAGAAAGCAACACAAACAGTGAAATGGAAGTCCCTGCTGTTTTTGTGTTTAGAATGGATCTTGTGATTGTATGAGGTGAAACTTTAAACTCAAGGAGTTATATTTGGAGTATTTCACCTACTAATAATGCAGGGATTCAAGTACTTTGCTCAATAATTACAGTAGAAAATTTGCCCCATTTGTCATCCAGCAAAAGTTGCGTTTATTCACAGACTGTCATTAAAGACATTTCTTCATACTTAAAAAAATAGCATTATTCTGCAGAAAGAAAACCAATTTTAACTCATTCTTGAACAGTGTTTTTAAGATTGAATATGCATTTTTTCTCTTTAGAAATAATATTTTTATCAGATGGTGGAGAGAAGATTTTAAATCTTGTTTATTCTTTATCCAGATTTTGTAGAAACTTAAACATCAACGGATCTGCCCTCTGTAACCCAATTCTGGACTGTTGTAAAAATATAACTATTAGCTTGCAGTTTTATTTATATACCATTTACATTTTCTTTGCCGTATTATTTGAGCTTAAAAGTAGTTTCAGCTACTTTGAATGGCCACTCTGAACTTCCTGTAGTTTTTACTATGCATTTTAAAAAGTAATATTATCACAGTTTTATTAGATCGAGTGATTCAGAGCCAGTAAACACATCTTTCTTAATGTAGCTCTTGTCACTTTTAAAACAAGTTAAATTGAAACGTTTGCTGAAATAATAAAAGAAGACATCAGGGTTACTTTTCTGAACACAAAACGTGTATGAGTCATACAAAGTGACACATATGTGACAAGTCAGCCATCATTGGTGTATTAAATTAAAGTTTATCTAACTTTTTTTTTAATCTGATGGAAGTTTACAAATTTTTTGCAGGCATTGAATTGTTCCTTGTAAACCGTTGATTGCAGGGGTCACAGTGGAATAGTTTGATGCTAAGTAAAAAAAAAGAAAAGAAAAAGTGTGCTCACAGCATGCCATTATAAATTCAAGAGTTTCCAGTGTTTTAGCTTATGCAGCAAGGGCTCAATCTGCATCTCAGCAGCTGCCTTTTCAGAAGAAACATCAGTAATCTGAGGTTCACAGTCTTTGGTTTCAGGATGTGTCCAATATCCTGCTGCCTACAATGCTATTTGATGTTTATTCCTGTGGGGGTCTGTGGCTGAAACAGCAAATTTGGTCCTTCAGACACTTCACTTAGACCAGCATTTTTGTTGTTGTTACAGCCACAGCCCAGAGACCATCCCTGTGAACATACATCAATCATTGGCAGAAGTTTGCTGGAAAACTGACAATGATTGGTAAATTTCTCGTAAGTGGAAATGTTGCACAATGAGCACTGTAAACAACCCATTATGGTTTTTATTGAACAAAATACATGCTTTAACTTGGTGAAAGTTAACATATTTTAACGACAACCCAGTTTTTGCTTCTTTTGTCTTATGTTTCAAAGATGGGCACTTAATAGGAATTTTTCTCTATTTTTCTGTGCCTAGTTTAAAAAAGATCAACACGCTACACTGACAGGAGAGGAGAATGGGAGGCTGCACCTCCAAAAACCAAACTATTCAAGCAAAAAGCCACCGCCTGCACAGACCAGAGCTATTTAATTGGTGCCCTGTATCACCACCGTTCCATAAACTTTATGAGCTGCTGGAACAAAATCTTCTTTTCTCTGCTTCCTTTTCTGCACAAAACTTTGAACTGCATCATCCCTTTAAACATGCCGCACTTTCACTTTGAGATGAAATGCAGAAAAGACAGCTTAAGGTCAGACTTTTAGTTATACGCACATTAGAGATTTGAACATGTAGCTATAATTTAATTAATTTATTAGTCAGTTTCTGATTAATTCTTTTGATTGTTTTTGAGATCCCCCACATTCCAGCTGTAAAATGTTAACATTTAAATGACATGCTACATGTATAACAGATGTTATACTAAAGGCAGAGGTCATCATTTAACATCCCATTTTTGCCTTGTAAGTTTACGCATCAACCAGTTCAACTAAAGTGTCCCACAATGGTAATGTTTGGAAAAGTGGACAGATATGAGAAAATGTTTGACTGAATGCAGGTTTTGCCCAAGTTCAAACATGCTGACACCCCCTGATGACGCAGACTTGCTGAGGATGTCCTTAAAAGACCTATTGGTGTGAAAGTGTTAACCTGACTTGTCAGATGGCTTCTAAACATCTGAAGAAGGGGTGAGCAGCTGACAAAAGATTCTTACATGGAAAATATTATGTGTGATTGAATCAACCAAGCTTCAACCATTCCCAGCAACATGGCAGGGCACAGTGTCAAATTCTTCTCATGGTCAAACAGAGCAAAAACAAACCTTAAAGGAATAGTTCAGATGTTTCAAAATGAGGTTCTGTTGAAGGTTTATGGTTAATAGCTCACCTACTGTAGGTAGCTCTTGGAACAGCCTTCACTTAAAGAAATACAATTTAATTCTGACCTGACAGATGAACTAATGGCTAATCCATTACAGACTGACACCAAATTAAAATGCTGTTGTCTAAGAACCACTCCAGTTTGAAAACATAAGAAGTGTTCATGTGCATGCATTTTCACATTACTCAATTATTCCAGCAGAAATATATTATTCCTGAAGAGACCCAGGCTGCACCGGAAGTGCTACAACCAGCTGCCGCTGCCACCGACTGTACTTTCACATAATCAATAAATTCAATTAAATTTTTTCTGCAATACAACATTGATAGAGACCGAAACATGAACAGGTGACATTCATGTGGCTTTTTATGACAGAAAAAATACACTCTGGTTTTGACCTAAGCTTTTTAGTATAAAATGATTTTCTTCTAACAAATGTTGTTCCAGAAATTGTTAAACAAGTAAACGATTAACCTTTTCACAAAACCCCATTTAAAACATTTTCACAGTTAATGAGTATTGTTTTCAACTTTGTTTTGCAAAAAAAAAGATAATTTTGATATATCCAATATCACAAATATCACTTTTATTTTGTTATCTAAATACACATATCAAAACAATTGAGCTGTGTGGAGAAATGTACTCTTGACCAAACAGTAGTAGTTGATGAGATAACCAAATAAATACCCAGAAACATAAAGTACTGTAATTTCTGGACTATTGAGCGCAACTGAATATAAGTTGTCTATAAGCCTTGGGTGTTCACATTGTAACATGAGATTTTTACACAGAAAGTTTTTTTTTTTTTTTTTTTTCTTTTTATTAAATATTTACTTTAAACACACACATTTTATTGTGTTTTTT